GCGGGGTGCGGGGGGGGGGGGGGGGGGGAAGCACCCTCTGCCATCCCCAGGGGGCTGCAGCCCCTGTCCCTGCCCAGCTGGGCTCCTCTGGGTCTCTGAAGCTGCTTGTAGCATGGTGCCAGTTGCCTGCCGACACTGGGCGCCGCTCCAAGGCAGCGGGGACCTCCCCCCCGGCTCAGCATGGGGACCCCCCGTGGGGGCTTTGTCCCCACTGGGAAAACAAGCTTGTTGGGGATCAGCTGGAGCCACAGCAAATCCAGGAGGCTGGGGTCAGCTGGGGTCCAGGGCACAGTGCTGGTTCAGCTGCAGCCAGTTTTTGAATTAAAATCACCCAAACTTGCCCAAATCCCCAGGGGTTTGAGGCGGTTGCTTGATTTGTTTTGAGGCGGTTGTTTGATTTATTTCCGTTGCTTGCAGTGAAAGCCAAAACGCGTGTGGCCACATGCACACAATGCAACAGGAGCATCCTTGGGGATGCAGGGACATGGAGGGGTCATGGGCATAAAGGGACATGTGCAGTCCTGGAGCTGTGGGGTCACACGTGGGGGTACAGGGAGCCAAAAATGCTCCCACGGTGATGCCTGGCCCCAGCAGACCCCTGTGCTGCCGGAGCCGGACTGTCACTGGGTGGCAGTGGCACAGCCACTGAGGAATGGGTGCATATCCATGTGGATGTGGGAGGCCATGGCATGGAGCATCATCTCTTGGTGCTGGACCCTGGCACACGTTGGGCCTGATCCTGCAAAGCCACCCCAGCCCCCCAGGGAGGGGAGTGACAGCCAGGGGCTGCAGCATCTCCTCATGTCACCTGCATCACCTCTCGCCCGGAGTGCTCCCCCTCCCTGTCGACATGTCTCTTGCCACTGCAGAGCGCATCACGCAGACGGTGGAGATCACCAAGCACGTGGTGGACATCGAGGAGAAGGGTGTCAAGCTGCGCCTGACCATTGTGGACACACCGGGCTTTGGTGATGCTGTCAACAACACTGAGTGGTGTGTCCCATGGAGGGGGTGGAGGGTGCCTCCCTGGGGCCGGGCAGCACCACCATGGGTGCCAGTGGCTCTGAGGGTGGGATGCCCATGGCTCCTTGGGCTGCGATGCTGAGCCACGGGAGGTGTTGAGCTGGGGGTCCAGGGAAAGCCTGAGGGTCCCACAGGGGACTCAGACAGTTGCCTCCCTGTACCCGCAGCTGGAAGCCAGTGGCCGACTACATCGACCAGCAGTTCGAGCAGTATTTCCGTGACGAAAGTGGCCTCAACCGGAAGAACATCCAGGACAACCGCGTCCACTGCTGCATCTACTTCATCTCTCCCTTTGGCCACGGGTACGGGCAGCCCCTGCCTGTGCTGCTGGGCTGGGGCGGGGGGCTGGGGAAGGGGCTTGGTGGGATGGTGCTCACTGGCCTTCCCCCACAGCCTCCGGCCCCTGGACGTGGAGTTCATGAAAGCCCTGCACCAGCGCGTGAACATCGTGCCGGTGCTGGCCAAGGCTGACACCCTGACCCCTGCCGAGGTGGAGCGCATGAAGAACAAAGTACGGGGAGGTTGGCACAGCCTGAAGCCATCTCAGTGGGTCCCTGGTGATGAGGGTGCCCTGGGGCTGGGGTCCCTGCTCGGCTGGGGGCTCTCTCCAACCCCTGCCTGGACTTTGCCATGGAGCATCCTCCATGCTCGCAGCACTGTAGAGGACCATGTTGCCCATGTGGCCACCAAGGACATGTCTCCCTGGTGCTCAGCTAGGGGCTGGAAGGGTGCAGGGGGGTGTCCGTGACATCTAGTCTTGGGGGTTCCTGCAGGGGATAGGGTTTTGTGGGTCCTTGGGGGAGAATGGCGCTGTGTGGTGCTTCCCACCCCTTTTCCGAGGGCCAGCCCTCAGCAGGGCTGTCTGCCTCCAGATCCGGGAGGAGATCGACCACTATGGCATCCGCATCTACCAGTTCCCCGAGTGTGACTCGGATGAGGATGAGGAGTTCAAGCTGCAGGACCAGGCACTGAAGGTGGGTCATAGAATCATAGAATGGTTTGGGTTGGAAGGGACCTTTAAAGCTCATCTAGTCCACCCCCCCTGCAAAGGGTCGGGCTCCTCCAGCTCCATCCTTGGGGGGGGCAGAACCCCATGGCTGGGAGGACATCTCATTCTGAGGTACCCTTGGGACTCTTTGGGGCCATGCAAGCCCTCTGGCAGCCCCAGGATGGTGGGGTTAGTACCTATCGCACTACCCAGGTGCATCACCAAGACCCCACAGGTGCCACCTGCAGCTTGGTGGGATGGGGCTGGGGTGGAGGGTGCTCCATAGCCAGGGCTCCCGGGTATCTTGGTAAATGGGTGCTGGATATGGCTGAAGAGATGTGTGTGGAGGGATGTGGGCCACAGCAGGCAGGACCGAGCCCTGCTAACCCCTGCCGTCCTCTTGCAGGAGAGCATCCCCTTCGCCGTCATCGGCAGCAACACGGTTGTAGAGGCCAAAGGCCGGCGTGTCCGTGGGCGCCTCTACCCCTGGGGCATCGTGGAAGGTAATGCTGGGCCGTGTCGCCAGCATCCCACCAGCCCTGAGGGGATGGGGACATCGCGTGCTCCATCTCCACGCTGCTCAGCCTGGGGGTGCTTAGGGGGATGGGGGGGGCTGGCTGTGGCCCCCTGACCTCAGGCTCCCCTGCAGTGGAGAACCCATCCCACTGTGACTTCGTGAAGCTGCGGACAATGCTGGTGAGGACCCACATGCAGGACCTCAAGGACGTGACGCGGGAAACCCACTATGAGAACTACCGCACGCAGTGCATCCAGAGCATGACCCGCATGGTGGTGAAGGAGAGGAACCGCAAGTATGGGGCTGGGAGTGGGGTGCCAGGCTGAAGGAGGGTGGGGGGGAGTGTCCCCTCTCTTAGGGGTGACCCCAGGTGATCTCAGGGGGTTGGGGTTGTCTGTGGGTCCATGCCAGGCATCATGGTGGGCTGGGCAAGGAATCCTTGGCAGCATGGTGGGGTGCCCTGGTGCAGTGGGCAGCCCTTCCCATGCCATTGGGCTGGGGCTGGCTGGGAGGGGGTGCTCTGGCAGCAAGGGGACTCAAGGCTGGGTCTGTCTTAGGGGGGATGCTCAAGCAGTGATGGGGACACGGTGTCCCCCCAGGGCTGGTGCTGTCTGGCAGGGTGGGGGGAAATGCTCTGGCAGTGAAGGGGACCCTGCATCCCCCTGGGGCCAGCTGGGGAGCAATGCTCCAGCAGTGAGGGAGACCCTCTGTGTCCGGCTGGGCTGGGTCTGTCTCAGTGGGGATGCTCCAGCAGTCAAGGGGACTCTGCGTCCCCCCAGGACTGGGGGTGATGCTTTAGCAGTGAGGGGCACCCTGTGTCTCTGCAGGCTTTGGGGCTGGAGCGGGAGCCAAGCAAGCACCCAGTGCTGGGGCTTTGCCACCAGTACCAGCTGGATTCATGACACTCGCATCCCCTTTAGCCACCCCAAGATGCTGCAGGGAGCCCCCCAAAGCAGGGTCCCCAGTGGGACCCTCTAGCCAGGGTGCTGGAGTGGTGTGGGAGCAAGTGGGTTGTGGGGGGCCGAAGCAGCAGTGCCAGTGGGAGGGGCTGGCGATGACTATAGGTGCCTCTAAGATGGTCTCTCCATATTTGCTGCCGGAGAAGGCGGCATCCCTCCGTGCTGAGGCTGTGCTGTGCCGACTGCTCTGCCGACTGAGCCAGGATCCAGCCGGGGCCACATTGGGCCCCCGCTGCCCTCCTCTCCCTGCCCATCCCCCTGGTCCCTATATAAAGTACTTGCTGGTACCCAACGCTGTCTTGGTCCTTCTGTGCCCACGCAAGGGCCAGGCAGCCGATCTCGGGGAGAGCTGACCCTGTGGCCACCCACCTGTTGCCCACGCAAGTTGCCCTTGGGGTGCCGACACCACCAGCGGTGCCTGGAGGATGCTGTGTGCCAGTAACATCACCCCAGCTCACCCAGGCAAGGTGCGGTTGGGGGGACATGTCACCGTTTGGTGGCACCTAGCTTCTCCCAGCCAAAAGTTGCCCAAGGAAAGGGCTGCAGGCTGGTACCCCTATCCTGCTGCCATCCCAGGGGGAATGTGATTTTTGGGGTGCAGGAGGCAGGTTTTCCTGGGCTGGTGAAACTGCTTGCCTCATTGCCAGTGCCTGGCTCAAACCTTGTCTTGCTGCCAGGGATAGAAGGAGCTTGACGTGCCCTCCCCTGGGTCCTCCCATGGCGAGGAGCCGTGACAACAGGCAGCGACTTCCAAAGCAGCTCAAAACGTGGCCAAAACCCATATCCTTGCTGTGGCATGCTGGCACAGCCCCCTCAACACAAAGGACCCCATGTGGCAGGGGGGGCCCAGCCCGCCCGTGCAACATCCGCCATGTCCATCACCCCTTTGCATGTGGAGGGGCTGCACCGGCGGGTGGCATGTGGCGGTGGCACGTGGCAGCACGCGTGACCCCTACCAGCCGCATTGGCAGTGTCCCAGCCATGTCGTCACCCACTGGGGAAGCATGTGGCATCCACAGGGACCCGGCTGGGATTGCTGGTCCCTCCCCATAGCCGTTGGCATGGGAGAAGCCATCGATTCGACTGGCTGTGGTCCTGTGTGGTGGGGTGGCCCCAGGTGGACGCCCACAGCTCCCTCCAGTAGGGATGGGCTTGAATGGGAGCTGATGCTCGGGAAAAGGGGTGCAGAGCATCCCTGGGGCTGGATGGGCTGTGGGGTGCTCAGGGAGCCCGTCCTGCAGCGGGGCTGTGGCTGTGGGAGAGAAGAGAGATGCCGAGTTTAAGATGTTTTAAAGCAGCAGAGAAAATATTGGGCAAGGAGAGCCTGACCCTAGCTTGGAGCACCCAGGCAGGGCTCTGTGCTCTGGGGGGTCCCTGGCACCCCTTGTTGTGGTGGTGCCTCCCTGGGTCCCCCCAAACTGGTTTGAAGCAGGTTGGGGGTGCTGGGTTTTGGGGGGATGCTTGGAGCTGCCCATGTTTCCCCCCACTGGGAAAAGGGCCAAGCACAGCCCTGGCCAGGGGGGCTCCTTGTCTGTGCAGGCAGGTGGTGGGTATCTGCAAGGTTCAGGGTATCCAGGCCTGCAGGCACCCGTGGGGGAATGTCCCCGTGGGGGGCCGGGAGGGCTGTGGCAGCACCCTCACCTCCTCTCTCTGCCCACAGCAAGCTGACGCGAGAGAGTGGGACGGATTTCCCCATCCCTGTCATCCCCCCGGTGCCAGACGCAGAGACAGAGAAGCTCATCCGGGAGAAGGATGAGGAGGTGAGTGTGGGGGAAGGCTGAGCCCCCCCCTGCCCCCAGTGTCGCCGCCATGTCCCCAGCCCCAGCAGTGGCACAGCTGCAAGAGGCCACCCTTCCTGCAGCATCCCAGCAGCTGCTGCCCCTTAGGCCATGGTGAGGAGGTGTTGGAGGGGCATCAGACCGTTTCCCCCTACTCCGCCCACTGTTCTTGGTGATCCCAATCTGCTTGGGGTGCTTGACCCAAATATGTTTGCAAGGCAGCTGGCATGGCTGGGGGGTGCCAGCACCCCCCCATGATCCCTGCTCTCCTCCCTTCCAGCTGCGGCGGATGCAAGAGATGCTCCAGAAGATCCAGAAGCAGATGAAGGACTCGCACTAGCCCCTTTTTCCTCCTCCTCCTCACCGGCCCAGATCAGAAGTGTTTACATCACGCTCCATCCTGCCCCAGCCCCACTGCGAGACTTGGTACCAACACCGCACCCGCCACCTTAAGCTGCTGCGGTATCGCCTTATCCAACCGGCCAGCACCCATCCCATGGGGACAGCTAGGAGACAGGGCACCCAGCCTGGGGGTCCCCTGTCCCAGCCACATTGCTGCCCTGGCCCTGCCCCAGGCTGGGGACAGCTTTGTCCCTCAAGCTTTGGCTTTCCCCGTTTCCCCCGCAGCTCTGGGGAGGGCCACCGGCCAGCCTGCTCCCCATGTCGTGTCCCTTGTCCCTATGTCACCTTGGGCTGCCTGCTTACAGCCTTTACACTCAGCTCGGCCCTGGCTTAAGGGAAGAGGAAAGGGGGGGACTGGTCCCAGCCCCCCCAAAGCCCCAGCTGCCCTGCTGTGGGGAACAGGGCTGCTCCCCCCGGGCCTTGGCTGGCATGGAGGGACAGCAGCGCCTGGGGACCGCAGGTGACCAAGGGGATGGAGGGGCAGCCGCCATCCTGGCCAGGGTGGCAGCCAGCACTCAGACCCTTGGCTGCCTCCATGCCAGCACCGGTACAAGGAGGGACTGAAGGTGTCCAGCCCTGTGTCCTTGGCAGGGACCCTGTCCCCATGCAGCATCATCCCTCGGGAGCACCCCATATCCCCAGGTGGTGGGGAGGGCCATGGCATGGGGAGTATTGGGGAATCACAGTCCCCAGAGAAAGTCCCTTGAACCCCAAATCAGAGGCTGGGTCCCCAGCCTGGCCCCCTGGATATCGGCCCTGTAATGCAATGACTCTCTTGCACCTGCGGTGCTTCCTGACTCGCGGCAACAGCATCGTCTCTTGCTGGTATTTCAGCTCCTGGTGCCACTTGCTTGTCTGTGGTGTCCCTCTGTGTCCCCAAGATGGCCCTGTCCCTGCTGCTTCCTGGCAGAGCATCACTGTGTGTGTCCCAAGGATGTCCCCATCCATGTTGCTTCCCAGCAAAGCACTGCTGTGTGTCCCCATATTCCCCCCGTGATGTCCCCATTGGTGTTGCTGCCCTGCAGAGCACTGCAGTGTGTCGTCCCCCCCAGGCTGTCCCTTTCTGTGTTGCTTTCCTGCAGAGTACTATGTCGTGTGCCTGTGTCCCCCCAGGAAGTCCCCATGCCTGTTGCTGCCCTGCTGAGCACTGTTGTGTCCCTCCAGGATGTCCCCATCTGCGTTGCTTCCTGGAAAAGCACCACTGTGTGTCCCTGGGGTGAGCCCTGGCCTGCACCTCCCCAGGCGGCGGCCGCATGGCATCCCTGGGGAGATGGACCCGAACCCCCCCAGCTCCCTGCTCCCCTCTGGGTACGGGGAAAGACGAAAGGGGATGGCAAAGCTGCAGGGTGGAGGCAGAACCGGGAGCAGTGGGATCACTGGGAGCTCGCTGGCAGGGGGACACATCCCCTCCCCAGCAGGGCCACCCGAGCTGGGGTTCCCCGTGTGGGTTCACCCCTGGGCAAGGGTTTTGCATCCAGGCAGCTTGGCTGATGGGGGCTGCATCTGGCCGAGGCTCAGGGTGGGTGCTGCAGGGTGCTGGGGCAGCGTCCGGCATGTGCCACAGTGTCCCCATGCCAGCTGGAGGGTCCCTTGGCCCCCATGGGCAGGGACCCCACGGGCAGGACCCCACAGGGTGTATTAGCGCTTTCCTTTTTTTAATCTTGCTATTTTCTTACAGAAGTACCTACCTTCGCATGATGGTCATAGAGGCATTTATTAAAGGATAAGCAGAGTATAGGTTTATAAATTCTTATAGAGCTAGTGGAAATATTTTTATCCCTCCACACCTGTTCTCAATAAATACGGCTGACCTGGCTTGTCTGCAACCCCGAGTCACTTCTGCATGGGCGGTGGGCACCCCACATCCCTGGGCAGGCAAGGACAGGGCTGACAGTGGTCGGCCCCATGGCCACCTGCTCCTGGCTCCTGTTTCCCTGGCAAAGGCTCAGAATGGATACTGGGGTGTTTGGGCTGCATCCACAGGGGCACCCAGCTTAGGGTGTGGGACCCAGCCCTGGGGATGGGGGGGACACAAGGATGAGGTCCCCCCTGCCTGCTACTGGCTGGTCCCCCTCTCATGTGCTGCCTTGGAATCCCATGGCCCCAGGTGCTGTTGGTGCTGGGGCCATGATGAGAACTGGGGGGGACAGAGCGGAGAACCTGAGCCAGGGGATGGAATTGCCCTCCACATGCTGCCCCCAGGCATCCTCACACCCCCCACAGTAGGGTGAGCCCTGCCGGCAGACACTGTGGGCACTTGGCGTGGCTGGGCCTACCCCGCGAGTACCAATGCCCCGTTATCTCAGTTTGGCTTCACCAGGAGCTGGCAGGGTGAAGGGGTAGGAGGGGTGGGCAGAGTGGCACCGGGATGGGTGAGCTGTGTCTCTGCGTGCCTTCCACTGGGCATCATCCACCTGCACTCCCTTACCCCTCCCTGCACCCTGCTACCCTCCCCTGCAACCCCCTGCTATCCTCCATACAGTGCCCAGTCCAGCACAGGGTGGGGGTGCTCGATGGCTTTCCCTGGGCCCCCCAAATCCTGCTGTGAACCAGCAGATCCTGGCACAGCCCAGCCCTGCTGGGTCTGGCGGGGGGGTGGCAGCAGGTGGAGTGTGGGGGGTGCACAGGAGCAGGGAGCCGGCAGTTTGGGAGGGCACCCGCACTCATGCAGGCTTGGCCCCAGCCCAGGGCAGTGTGTTGGGGTGATCCTGTGTCCCCTGCCATGACACCCAGCAGCAGCCGTCACGCACATGGCACAGGGCTGTACCTGTCCGCCTGCACCCTGCGGGGCTGGGCTGTGGCATGCTGGGGGAAGCAAATGCCCATGCCATGCCATGCCATGCCATGCCATCCATGTACATCTCTGTCCCTGATGCCTTAATCAACCTGAGCACCCTCACCTGGGCCCCACCCACACCCTTGACACCCTGTTTAAGCTCAGCAGCCCCTGTACTGTGGGTGTGCTTGGCCCAGCCCTGTCCTCTCTGCCTGTTCACCTGCTTGTGGGGTTTCCTGCCTTCCCCTTAGGTGGTGTTTTATTTCCACCCGATGGTTGCTGGATGTGGGTGGGACCTGTTGCTGCTATGGCCTCGCTTGCCACCCTGGGATGGTGGGTGCTGGGGCCACCCACAACCCCCCCAGCTTGTTTACTGAGCAGAGCACCCTGTGCTCCCTGCCGTTCACCCCATGGGTAGGAAGCCTGTGGTGGAGGCGGGGAATGACTGGAAAACCAGCCTTCCCACTCTGGGGGCACCCCCAGTCCTTTATGGCCCCCTTCTGTGCACTGTAGTTTCTCCCCATCCCCTCTTCCTCAGCACATCCTCCCTCCAGTCCCTCTGATTCTAAACACCATCAACTCCTGTGCTCCCCTCTACTGGCACTCACCCCCCCACCCTCTCATCTCCCTGCCTGGCCCTGCCCAGGTGCCCCCCATTCCTCTTTACCCCCATACCCCAGCCAGCTCTCTTCCCCTCTGCAGGGCTTTGCTCCTATCTGGTTCCCCCCCGCTGCTCCCCATGCTCGAACAGCTCTACCCCCCCACCGAGCACCTTCAGCTCAGCTCAGGTCCCTCTGTGCTCACCCACTCCCCCGTGTGACCCTCCGATCCCCTTCCCCCTCCCCATATGTGCCTGGATCTTCTCTGGACCCCTCTGCTTGCTGCCTCCAAGACCATCCCCAGGTTTCTGTGTCTGCTCCAAGCCCCTCTGGGGACATCCAGACCCCTCTGCCCCCTCCTCTGCTCCCCATGCGGCAGAACTGCCTGCAAGGGCAGGGAGAGCTTGGACAGGCTTTGTTCCCGTCTTCCTCATGGATGGAACCCCGCTCCGTGGTCTCACAGGGAAGGAAGCCCAGAAAGGGGCTCTGCTTTCAGCTGCTTCTCGGCTGCTTCTGGTCACCTGCGGCATGGCCAGGCTGGGACGAGCGCCAGCTGCCTCCTTCAGGAGGTAAGAGCGAGCTGGTCAGGCCAGCGCGGAGGTTTTGGCAGTCACTCTCCTCCTTGCTGTGTTCTTCAGATGACCTGAATCACAGAGCACAAAATACTTCCATCGATACTTCTCTCAGATGTTGGTGTCAGAGCCAGGGAGCTCCTGAGTGAGAGCTACACCCATCCCCGCGCCGTCATTTATCCCCATGTGGATGGTGAAAGCCTGTCAAGTGTGTGGTTGTGTTATTCTTCTCTGCTAAAGTGGCTGAAGCACTTCAAAGGGGTGCTCCAGATGTCCTTGGCAGAGAGCTAAGGCCAGGCTCTGCGTTTCTCTGGTCTCTGCATCACCCAAGACATACCAGTTTTGGTTCTCTACCAAGCTGAGTGGTACAGTCAATATGCTGGAGGGAAGGGCTGGCATCCAGAGGGACCTGGACAGGCTGGAGGAGTGGGTCCATGTGAATCTCATGAAGTTCAACCAGGTGAAGTGCAAGGTCCTGCACCTGGGCCAGGGCAGTCCCCAGAACCAGCACAGACTGGGGCATGGATGGATGGAGAGCACCCTGTGGAGAAGGACTGGGGGATACTGGTGGGTGCAAAATGGGACATGAGCTGGCAATGTGGGCTTGCAGCCCAGAAAGCCAGGTGGCTCCTGGGCTGCATCACCAGCAGCGTGGCCAGCAGGTCGAGGGAGGGGATGCTCCCCCTCTGCTCCACTCTCCTCAGACCCCCCTGGAGCACTGCAACCAGCTCTGGGGTCCCCAGCACAAGACACATATGGACCTGCTAGAGCGGGTCCAGAGGAGGCCACCAAAATGGTCTGAGGGCTGGGACACCCCTCTGCTATGGAGAAAAGCTGCCTTGTGGGGAGCTGCCAGCCCCATCCACCTTCTCCCCTTGCCGTGGGTTGGAGCTGGGGCAGGAAATGCCCCCCATGGGGTCCTTCCCTCCTTTACCAGCGCTGCCTCAGTCCCACCTTGCTCCCTCCTTCATTTTACAAAGATCCTGAAACCCACCTGTGGCTAGTGATGCCAATATAGGCTATTTATTGGGCCAAAAATCACCATCACAAACATTAACCCTCTTAATATCAGCACGGAAATGGAAAATGTTTGTGCTTCCTTGGGTGGAAGCAGCTCTTGCCCCAAAGGCTAGGATGTGTGAACCTGCCTCCTCCTGAATCCTACCCTTGCAGCTCCCAGCACTCCAAGACAGACTCCCACGTTGGTGGCCCTGCCTGCACCTCCCTTCCCAAAACAGCCAACAGAGCCTCTTGTTTTGGCCCCAAACTGGCTGATTTAGCCTGATGCCCCTTCTCGCTGGAGGATAAAACCCAGTGCTGAGGCTCTGGTGACAGTCCCAGCCTGTGCCTACCCTTCATTGTGCTTCATTCCATGTGATTTTGG